ATTATTGTGGTAATCATTTTGTAATATATAAAAATATCAAACCACTACGCTGTACACCTGAAACTAATATAATATTCTAAGTCAATTATACTTCAATTAAAAGTAAATCAATAGGGCTTCCCTGGTGGCGCAATGGTTGAAAATCCGCCTGCCAATGCAGGGGACACGGGTTCAAGCCCTGGTCCAGGAAGATCCCACATGCCGTGGAGCAACTAAGCCCGTGCACCACAACTACTGAACCTGCACTCTATAGAGCCCAGGAGCCACAACTACTGAAGCCCATGCGCCTAGAATCCGTGCTCTGCAACAAGAGAAGCCACCACAATAAGAAGCCCGCGCACCGCAACAAAGAGTAGCTCCCACTCGCCACAACTAGAGAAAAGCCCATGCACAGCAATGAAAACCCAATGCAGCCAAAAATAAATAAATAAATTTATAAATAAATAAAGATACGCAGGGAAGGAGACATGTGAATGAATGATCCATGTGGTACTAGATTAGAAATGGAAACATCAGTATGAATTCATGTATGTACATACACACATGTATGTATGTATACTAACTCATATATACATATATTCTCTTGCTCTGTCATCTGAGAGGGCCTAACATCAACAACACTCCAGAAGCAAGAAGCACACCTCGTGCCCAGATGTTCATTTTTAATAACATTCTCTAGTAGAAAATATGAATACAATATGTATTTTAGTTAATATTGGTCCATTAGTTGTAACAAACATACCTTACTAATGTAAAGTATTAATAAGAGGGGAAGCTGGATGGGGGTTTATGGGAACTCTGTACTATCTTCACATTTTGTTTTGTAAAATTATAACTGTTCTAAACACTAAAGTTAATTTAAAAAATAAAGCAACTCGGGGCTTCCCTGGTGGCGCAGTGGTTGAGAGTCCGCCTGCCGATGCAGGGGACAAGGATTCGTGACCCGGTTCAGGAGGATCCCACATGCCGCGGAGCGGCTGGGCCCGTGAGCCATGGCTGCTGAGCCTGCGCATCCGGAGCCTGTGCTCCGCAGCGGGAGAGGCCACAACAGTGAGAGGCCCGCGTACCGCAAAAAATAAAATAAAATAAAATAAAAAATAAAGCAACCAAACATGAAACTTAATTAATTTAATTTAATAGCACCTAGCACAATGGCCAACATACAACAGGTTCCCAATAAACATGTGTTGAATAGCTAAATGAACAAATGCTACAAATGAATATTTCTTATTAGAAATGATTCTAACATCAAGTAAATTGTATTGATAAAAACAACAACATGTTTTAAAACTTGTACTTATAATTGACTGAGTTGCATTTTTGCAACTATTGGCAGATCCAGATATAATGAGACCCAGATATAAGCAAAATACACGAATCATACATGTCATAATGACTGGCACATCTAACCATTCAAACCAGGTGAATAAATTTAAATTATGTTGGTTTTGGTTTTTTAATCACACTGAAACTTAGAAACCTAATTCTTAGCTTTCAAACAAATAAAACATGTTCCCAAGTTTAGTACCTCTGCATAGTATTTTATATCTTTGTCAAAATTATTCACTCAGTATCTTAGAATTCCGTACCTAGAGAAGTTATACGTCGAATGTGAATTTCTCTTAGATTGCATATAAATGTGAATCTAACCATATCACAGCATAAGGAAGCATTTCTCTGAAACTCTTCATCACAATTCCTGCAAGTATTTGCAAATTCTTAGTTTCAACAGAGGAAAAAAATCTTGTCCGGCTTAAGTAAAATGAGTATTTTATCATTTGCATTTAAATGGAGAAAAGGATAGAGTTATCCTACCACCTCGTGGACTGTTAGGGTATTGCTTTTTCAGAGCCAAAAGCACATTTTAAGAATGAGAGGATAGAAAACACTGAACAGTGGTTATTCATGCTTTCCTACCGCCTTCAGTTCTTCTGCCCCTAATTCCACATCTTCACATCCTACCCATTACTCAAAATGCATTTTAAATGTCCCCAGCATTGGAACATACTGTATAGCACAGGGAACTCTACCTAATGTACTGTGGTAACCTAAATGGGAGGGAAATCCAAAAGGGAGGGGATATCTGTATGTGTATGGCCGATTCATTTTGTGGTGCAGTGGAGGCTAACACAACATTGTAAAGAAACCATACTCCAATAAAAATTAATAAATAATAAATAAATAAAGAAAGAAATGTCCCCACCACTATTCATGAAACATTTTATTTATCATCAAATTATAGACTACCTGTAAGTAATTTTACTCTGGGTATTACTTTTATTATAACTTTGACCAACTTCTGACTTAAATATTTTTGTTTGCCTATCTCTCACCCTTATTTGGAGACAGTGAATATACAAACTTATGGCCTAGCACCACAGCATGCTCACAGCAGGCAGTTAATAAGCATTCATGTAATGAATAAATATTTGTTAAATGAACAAATATGAATGTGAATGGTATGGGATTTCATAGGGATATTTGAGAGAAAATTCAGAAAGCAATTGTTCTGTATGCAACACAAGAAGATCATTTTCATTTGGTTTAAACATGAAATTGCAATTAATATCAAAATATTAAAAATGTTATTTTATGATATTTTAGATCTTTGCTGGAAAATAGAGTAGTTTAAAAACAAGTAACTGTTGTAAAATATGATAGACTGAGGAATTTTCAAACGTTTAACAAGAGGACAGATTTTTATAATGTTATATAGATACGCACTTTGGGTTGAATTTAATAATTCTAACGAATAAAACCAATGTTAATTTTTTTTAAATGTCCACATCATAGAATCATCTCTAACTGCAAATTACAATTACAAGAAAATGGCTAAATGAAAATGCATCTCTGCTCTAAACTTCCATGCCACCTTATCTGGTTCCTCTTATTTTCTAGCTGGCATTACTTAGTCTTATACTCACTGTAAGTATTTTGAGGACATATAGACAATGTGTACTGAAACCGGCTCACACCTGCTCTCACCAACAGTTTAATACTCAGAAATTTTGCAAGCCATTTGTTAAACTGTTGGTAGCTTGAAATTGGTCATGGCAGGTACATTTATACAACAGAAATCAGGAAACACCACAAATCAAGCTACTTTAAAAAATATATTTTTAATCATCTTTAACTTCTCCACACCTCATTTTCTCTATTTGTAATATGTAGTGAGGAGAGGTGGGACAGCTCCTACCTCAACAAGACTGTTGTAAAGACTGAACAAAATAACCCACATAAAAGGCTGTGTCTAGTGTCTGGCATATCGTGTGTGCCAACCAAATATTAGAATCATTCTCCATACCCCATCACAGTGCCTTGCAAGTAGTAAATCCCTCAATAAATACTCAGTTGTTAAATGACAAATGAAATCAAGAATTTCAATGGAATATTTTAAGATATGTTAACACTGATAGTAGTCCCAGGTTAACAATAGGACAGATCATTACCAGGAACATAAGCTCTTTACTTATAAATAACCCAGACTTTTTTTCTTTGCCTCTTCCTGCTCTAAATCAATTGATAGATAGATTTTATCTCGAAAATTTCTAGTAATATTCATTTAGATAAAAATTCTAGATATATTTTCTAGATAAGTATAGATCTAGAGAGATATAGATACAGATCTTTGTTTCCTTCTGCATTTCTCTCCCATTCTGATTCAGTCTAAAGTGCCTCCCTTTCTCCTTGTTCCTTTTAGTTTATTTCATAATGCAAAATATATAATTTATGCCTCACTTTGTTCCAGAAAACATTTGTTGTGAATAATAGATAACTTGGTTTCATGTTTAGCGAATAAGCTTTTTAAATTTCTCCAAGGGAACAAAATAAAGTAGCTTTTTACCATATCTTTCATTGATCCTGTGCTCCTGTTTCACTGGCCTTTTCCTTTGGGAAAAGACAAAATTAAGTTTCCAAGCACAAAGTTGAAAGCCAAATTATCATGAATTCCAGACACTTTCCAAAAAGGAACACAAGAAATGTCCTTATCCTTTAAGGTTGATGTCACCCTCATACCTCTTTACCTACCTCACTGCAATCCTAATATGGTGTTTCTTTAGCTATAAGGCTGCTTCCAATAACTATGTTTAAGGATCTGCTATAGCTTCATTTGCTTGCTAAAAAACAAAACCAAAAAATTGAAACAACAAATTAATTGCAACTAATTAGTTGTTTCAATTTTCTGGTTTTGCTCTAATTAGTTGCAAAAACAGACTGGAAAATGATTTACTCCAGATGGTTTGGAATAAAATTCCAATTGCTCAAATGTAAATTTATTCATCTAATATAAGTTTTTCCTTACTTAGCTACACAGAGACTTTTTTTAATGGAGGAAAAAGTAAAATATGGGCTTAGTAATAAAACTAAGATGACCATTTGCCCTAGAATATACAAATTCTGTCCATTTCTGGTTTAAAAATACACAGAGGCTGAAACAAATAGCACATCCACAAGGCACTGGCTGATGCAAGCACTTTGTTTAGTGAAATATCTACTGCGATGTTGGTCTACCCTTATCCAAGACCACGTCAACGACATAGTGTGTGACAGGAGGAACTTCCTCCAGAAGTAGAAATAAGGTGGGTGAGTCAGAAATTAAAATTCCAACTAGCCTGCAGGCATCTGTAAGATGAAGCAATACACTGTATTTGATTCACCTCCTGGTCTGTTTCCAAAGGACACTGTCAAACACAATGATTCTTTTTCCCAACAGCTGTCACCACCAAGTCAGCTACCCTTTGTATTTTCTCTTTGTGTTCCAATACAGACAGAGAGCAGATGGCTGGACTCAGTGCCAGGGCAAAGGTAAAATTAGTTGTCTCACCTAAAGAGGTACTGCCAGACTTCATTAAGACAAAAGTCCCAGCAACAAATACCTACAAAATCTAGGGTCTAGAAAACACAATCTGAACTTCCTGTTTAATTTACCAAGTAAAAACAAAAAACCCACTTTTGAGGAAAACTTAATTAATTTGCTAAGAGGTGATGAGAAGACTCACAGATTTCATCTTCAGAGAGAAGTGGTTTCCCCTGTCATCAACTCTGTAATTTTCAGGCTCTGTAAAAAAGCACATTATGTTCAATGTTCCTCTAAGCTGAGGTCATGGGTGAATTCCAGAATATAAAATATCATCTTCCAGAGCTAAAACTTTACTAAAGCAAATAGGTTTAAAAAATATTTGACTAAAAAAACACTGCAAATTAAAATTACAAGGGGGGCTTCCTTGGTGGCACAGTGGTTGAGAGTCCGCCTGCCTATGCAGGGGACACGGGTTCGTGCCCCAGTCCAGGAAGATCCCATATGCCGCGGAGCAGCTAGGCCCGTGAGCCATGGCGGCTGAGCCTGCGCGTCCAGAGCCTATGCTCCGCAACAGGAGAGGCCACAACAGTGAGAGGCCCCCGTACCGCAAATAAATAAATAAATAAATAACAAAGGAACAGCTAAATGAAAGGTGAGACTTTCCAACTGAGGGGATTAAAGCTATAATCAGAATTAGAGAAGGAAATTCAGAGCTGCAAGATATAACCAGTCACTTATTAACCACATAGTGTAGTTATAATATATAACTGGCAGTGTTAGAATTAGAATTAGAATGACACAGAAAAAACCCTCCTACTATTACAAAGAAAGTTTGATCTCCCATAAAAATAAACTTTTAGCCTTCTATTGTTAAGCTGAAAGGTTCTGCCATTCAAACAGCCACCTATTTTGCCTCTTCTCAGTGGCACAGGAATAGAGAATTTTGTTGCCTCCATTTACTTATTTAAAATGCCTAAAAGATAAAGAGAGCAGAAATCTCTTCTATGGCCCTTCATAAATTGGAGATTTTCTCTACACTTTGATTGGTACCAAGACAGAGACAGAATCACATATGCAATTGATTTCTATTATTCAGCCCCCTCTCTCAGGTAACTCAAAATTAGTAAAATCACAGTAATAGGAGTTGACTGTCACAAGGCAGAGACCTCAGTAGCCTAAGAGACTGTTCTCAGTAGTCAGGCTTTAGGACTAGGAGACCCAGCAATGAGATGAAGATTTCTTTTGAGGCAGAATAATTAATTATCTATTGTTTTTACAAAGCCCAAGGGCACAGACCTAAAAAAAAAAAGAAACCACCACCAACAAAAAAAAACTCTCAAGTTAAATAATGCCCTTACTTACGTAAATTACTATATTTTCAAATAAAAATTGTATATATATTTTTAATCCCGTTATTTCTAATCCTTTATTTCCTCCATAGCAGCTGGAAGACAGGCAGTTTCTGAATATGGCTAAGATTTTTCAAAACAAATGGTGAGAAACTTTGTCTTTAGAGGCAGTTTCAGACCTGGGCCCAAATCACACTCTACCACTCATACATGTGGGGTATGTGAAAAAAATTACTTAACGTATCTGAACTTCAATTCCTGAATCTTGTACAACAGAGATAATATTGCCTATTTCATGGAGTTGAAATTAGATAAGAAATGTATATAGTATTTAGTATATTGCCTAGAAATGTGCTGTCCAATACAGCAGGCACTAACTACGTGTGGCTATTTAAATTTATTTATTTATTTATTTTTATTTTTGGCTCTGTTGGGACTTCGTTGCTGCGCGCAGTCTTTCTCTAGTTGCAGCAAGCGGGGGCTACTGTTTGTTGTGGTGGGCGGGCTTCTCATTGCGGTGGCTTCTCTTGCTGTGGAGCACGGGCTCTAGGCACATGGGCTCAGTAGTTGTGGCTCGCGGGCTCTACAGCGCAGGCTCAGTAGCCGTGGCGCAGGGGCTTAGTTGCTCCGCGGCATGTGGGATCTTCCCGGAACAGGGCTCAAACCCGTGTCCCCTACATTGGCAGGCGGATTCTTAACCACTGCACCACCAGGGAAGCCCCATGTGGCTATTTAAATCAAATTTAAATTAATTAAAGTTAAATAAAATTTTAAAATCTGTTCTACAGTCACACTAGGTATATTCCAGTAACCAATAATCACATGTGGCTGGAAAGAACATTTTTATCATCACAGAAATTTTTGAACATTGCTAAAGAATGTAGTAAGAGCTCAATAAATGTTCATTTGATCTGTTTAGCAAATTTTTTCTCCTCCTCTACAGTTCCTCTAAGTTCTCAGGCCTCCCAAGTTATCTCCTTATCATGAAGGAAAGCAATATGATAAGACATATATGTGTTTATCATTTTTTTCTCTCCCAGGAATACTGGAGTTCTAAAAGAGCACTGCAAGGAGAAAGCAATGCTTACCACAAATGGGAAAAATTCTAACGATGGAGGTTTCAGGCATTACAGCAGACACTGGGGAAGGTCCTTCTGGACTATGAGTGTGGGGAGAGAAAAAGAATCTCCATAGTACCCCTCAGTTCATACCCAAAGATCCACCTACTCATAGCAACAACGTAGACTTTAACACACTAACTCTTACTGAGAAAATGGAAAACAAAAAGGTTTTTTACTCTGTAGGATTCTTTTCACACCAAATTTTGGCTGAAATATCTAAAAATAAGTATGAATCATCAGCATTTCCCCAGAGATACTTTAACCAAGTTAGTCTTGGGCACTTGAGTGGAATTCTTTGCATTAGTTTTTGTGTTCTTCGGATTCATTTCCTTTCTCCTTCCAAATAGCAGAATTGGAGCTGGGAAGATACTAGAGAAAAAAATGCTAATAGGAGTCTAGAAAGTTAAGAAATGAGGAATTACAAGAAGCTGAAATTCAGAAGCTGAAATTCTAAGAATTCTAATCTCAGATGATACTTGTGGGTATCTGATGAAATTATCCTATAGACCCTTGTAGATCCGGGCTTAAATGTTCTGGGTAAATTTCTCTGTAGCAGGACATTTGCGGTACTAAACTTCAAAGGATATACATCTTTCCTTTCAAAACTACAAGTAGAAGAGGCTGGCCCCTGTACTTCATTATAAATGGGGAGAGGAAACATCTAGTGCTTTAAAAAAAAAAAACATGATGGGGAATTCCCTGGCAGTCCAGTGGTCAGGATTTGGTGCTTTCACTGCCAAGGCCCGGGTTCGATCCCTGGTCAGGCAACTAAGATCCTGCAGCCCACTCAGCATGGCAAAGAAAAAGAAGAAAAAGATGTTCTGCCTACAGGTGGTATCCTTATAGGTAATAAGCAAAGCTGCCTTCCTAAGTCAAAATAAAAATGTGTGAACATAACTCATTGAAAGGCTATGCCTTTCTAGATCAAGTTGAAAATAGAGCAAGTCTGTTGTCATAGCCTTGGTAATAACAGTTGAACACACCTGATAACAAATTTGATCATAGGTCTTTGGTGAGTGAAATTATTCCTTGCTGATACATTTTAGGTTAAATAAATACATAATTGGCTTCTTTTACCTCTACACCTATTATCAAACAATCCCCATTTGATTGCATACTTTTATGAGTTAATATTCTATAATCATCAATCCTGGGTATTTACTTTACAACTAAAGTACTTACACTAACAACATTCTGATTGTGATTATATCTTGATGTTTTTTGTTGTCATATCAGTGAGAGAAATTATGGATTTCATTAAACCACGATGCAATGATAAAAACATCGGACAAGAGGCAAGCTTTTTATTCTGCTGAAAACATATATTTACTAGCAGTCCAAACTCAAAAACATAAACTACTATCCTTTGGAAAGCATACCTAACACAGGATCATGATTTTGTAAAATATAACTCTCAACTTATTTTAATCAATTGCCATATTTTCTCTTATTGCAAAATGATCCACATGCGGTATACTTTGACATAAAACTTAGGTACTAAAAAGACATTTTTTCTGTCCAGTTTACTTTCTATTTTGCTGTCTTTTTACAATATTGGGCATATAGTAGTACTATAACTACTAGCTATTATTGCTATATTATTATCCCTTCCACTAGACAGAAATTTCGTATTTTTTACTACTTTTTGATGTAAATTTTTATTCACATTATTTTGAGGAGACGTTCTTTAGTGAAGACACATCAGCAAGACAAAGTGTTAAAAAAGCACAGCTTACCAACTTTTTAAATGAACAAAAATTCATATAACATCAACTTCTGTACAGAGCAATAGGAGCTGATTATACAGCCCAAACTTTCTAATAATAATAATGGTAATAGAGGCATACCTCATTTTACTGCACTTCGCTTCATCGAGCTTCACAGATATTGTGTTTTTTACAAAATTGAAGGTTTGTGGCAACCTGCATCAAGCAAGTCTATCGGCGCCATATTTCCAATAGTATTTGCTCACACCATGTCTCTGTGTCACATTTTGGTAATTCTCACAATATTTCAAACTTTTTCAATACTATTGTATTTGTTACAGTGATCTATGATCAGTGACCTTTGATGTTACTATTGTAATTGTTTGGGGATGCCATTAAACACACCCAAATAAGACAGTGAACTTAACTGCTAAATGTGTGTGTTCTGACTACTCCCCTAAATGGACATTCCTCCACCTTTCTCCCTCCCCTCTGGCCTCCCTATTCCCTGAGATAGAACAATATTGAAATTAGGCCAATTAATAAAGCTACAATGACCTCAAAGCTTTCAAATGAAGAGTCACACATCTCTCACTTTAAATCAAAAGCGAGAAATGATTAAGTTTAGTCAGGAAGGCATGTAGAAAGATGAGATAAGCTAGGCCTTTTGCGCCAGACAATTTGCTAAGATGTTAATGCAAAAGAAAAGTTCTAGAAGGAAATTAAAAGTGCTACTCCAGTGAACACAAATGATAAGAAAGTGAAACAGCTTTATTGCTAATTTGGGAAAAGTGTGATTGGTCTGGACAGAAGATCCGGCCAGCCACGACATTCCCTTAAGTTAAAGCCTAATCTCTTCAATTCTATGAAGGGTGAGAGAGGTAAGGAAGCTGCAGAAGAAAAGTTTGATGACGTCTAAGGAAAGAAGCCATCTCCATAACATAAAAGTTCAAGGCAAAGCAGCAAGTGCTGATGAAGAAGTTGCAGCAAGTTATCCAGAAGATCTAGCTAAGATAATTACTGCAGGTGGCTACACTAAACAATACATTTTCAATGGAAACAAAATAGTCTCATATTGGAAG